TTAGTAGAAAAATTAAATGACAAATTTATTAATGAAAGTGATATACATATTATAAGCATAATGAAGATTGTTTATTACATTGCACAAAACCATATTTCTATGAAAAAATTACCATCTTTAGTTCAACTTGCAAAAGAATTGCATACATCAGATATTTCTGATAAATCACTTTCATATAGTAATGAAATTGCTGGTAATGACATATTAGCTGCTTTATCAGAAGTTATCTCAGAAAAAATATCGGATGAATTGTCAGAAGTAGAATTTTTTGGAGTTATAATAGATGAATCCACTGATATAACTACTACAAAGCATTTAAATGTTTATATTACTTATGTGTCTAATAATGGTATTATTCAAACCAAATTTTTGCAATTAATTGGATTAAGTTGTGGGGGGGATGTTATACAATTGGCTCATTATTGACAAATTTATTTAAAAAAAGGTAAATTTTTGTTAAATTTTTATGTGTATACATAAACATCCATTTATATACATTAATAATATATTTTTTTAATTTAGACTATATATGAAGTCGAAATTAAAACCCCAAAGTCGAAATGTTTTGACTTGAGGCAACTACATAGTAAAAATCAGTTTTGACCTTATTTCGACCCTATTTCGACCAGATCTGCAAATGGTCAAAATAGTTTCGACTTCATGTATAAATTTAGACATTTTGAAAAAACTCATTTCTTTTGCTTCAGATGGAGCAGCAGTAATGATGGGCAATAAAAAAGGTATAGCAATGCAATTAAAGCAATTGTGTCCATTCCTTGTAGTAAATCATTGTGTTGCCCATCAGTTGGCATTAGCTTGCAAAGATGCAAGAAAAGAAATTATTTTTTATAATCAAGCTGAAGAAATGATGAAAAGGATTTACAAATATTTCAAAAGTTCATCTACATGAAAAAATAGCCTCAATCTTTATCAAAAGTTACTTAATATTCCTTGTATTAATATTCTGAAGCTTCATGACATTTGTTGGTTAGCTTGGTATGATGCTGTAAAAAATGTATGTGAATCCTTACCAGCACTACTCATTCTATTTAAAGAATCTGAATCTGAAGAGCATAGTGGACTTTCGATTCGTGTAACGTGACTATTGAAAATTTTTGCCGATCACAATTCATAATAGATACAGTAA